AGATCTACCATGTCGTGTAAAATGGTACCGTAATCGACCTCCCAGATCTACCATGTCGTGTAAAATGGTACCGTAATCGACCTCCCAGATCTACCATGTCGTGTAAAATGGTACCGTAATCGACCCTAGAAACAACATCTAATGGTCAGAATGCAGTAGTGAAGAAAAGATGTTTCGAATGTGCAGTTAGGGCTAAATTGTAAACCTGTTTTTAATGTGAAGTTAACGAACTCCTGATGCTACGTTAGCGAGTAAAAAACAAACAGTTGTTTTTAAGGAGAAAAAAATCTCGTAAGAAACTTCAACGGGTTCCCGAAATACATTTTAAACGAAGGTAAAACCAATCACAAAGTGATATTTTGTCACGAACTGAGAACGAGGTTATCCGGTTATGGTCGACGACTTTGAACGCTTATCTCGCCATCCACATCTTCAATATTCTTACATCAATTTTTAGTCTTTTTTTTAAATGTTTGCGGTTCAATAGCCTTAAATAAAGTCGTAGATCGTAAAATGTGGGGGGGAAGGAGCGCATGCGTATTTCGAACTCTCCCTGCTTGGTGAACTGTTCTAATGTAAACAGAGGATCTGAGGTTTCTAGTTTTATCAAGATCTGTTGGTTGGGCTTTACAGGTGGATTTTGTAGGTTAAAACTTGGAAGAATAATGGACAAGTGACTGGGTTATTGACATTACTCCGTTATTGTATAATTCGGTGTAGATTTTGTTTCTGTTACTACTGTCGGAAAAGATGACGCGGATATCTGAACTTTAGGAGATACGAAGGAAAATGCTCTTTAGTCGTGACGTTCACGTTCAATTAAACAATTACGATCATGTTTCTTATCGTAAATCACAATATGTGTATGTATGTGTATGTATGTATGTATATGTGTGTAACATTTAGAGACAAATATACCTGTATAATACAGAGCCCTCGAAATTTAACTTAACTATAGAAATTAAAAATGAGTTTGTGTTTGTCCTAAAATTTAACAAGGTGTCTACATTTTATTCAGAAGTGACCGTGTATTCATGGTGTGAGCTCGCTCGTTATGACATTCTCTAAGTAGCTGGTATATAAAAAAATGTTTATTAAAAATCTTACACAGTGTATTATTGATCTTACGCAGTGTATTACTGGACAATTTGTACCCAGGATTTAATGATATATATAATAACAATAAAAAAAATCAGTTAATAGCTGGCGACAATACGGTACACCGTACTTGTTGATGATAGCTGGCGACAATACGGTACACCGTACTTGTTGATGATAGCTGGCGACAATACGGTACACCGTACTTGTTGATGATGGCTGGCGACAATACGGTACACCGTACTTGTTGATGATGGCTGGCGACAATACGGTACACCGTACTTGTTGATGATGGCTGGCGACAATACGGTACACCGTACTTGTTGATGATGGCTGGCGACAATCTAGTCTAACTGGAAAGTTTGGTGGTAATGATAATAATCGTGGGGGCTAAGCCTAACTGGAAAGTTTGGTGGTAATGATAATAATTACTGTGAGAGCTAAGCCTAACTGGAAAGTTTGGTGGTAATGATAATAATTACTGTGAGAGCTAAGCCTAACTGGAAAGTTTGGTGGTAATGATAATAATTACTGTGAGAGCTAAGCCTAACTGGAAAGTTTGGTCACAATGGAACCTGATAAACAGTTGGAATAAGATGAATGGAAAGTTAAAATCAGGTTACTGATCAACATGAATTTTAACTGTAGATAAAATAACCACATAGGGATGGCAAAAATTAAGCCACAACGATATGGAAGCGTGTTTGTTAAACCCCCATCCACTTCCTTCAGAAAGCGGCTTTAAAGACCTTTAACAGAAGCTAAGGTGACCTTCTAGGTCAAGAAGATAACAGAGGTCAACAGTCGATTCCATGCTTTTGCCCCAGACACTACCTGAGTGAAACACTCTACCAAATAGTTACACGGTTCTAACAAAACGAGCTGTGACCTTCTAGGTCAAGAAGATAACAGAGGTCAACAGTCGATCCCATGCTTTTGCCCCAGATACTACCTGAGTGAAACACTCTACCAAATAGTTACACGATCCTTACAAAACGAGCTGTGACCTTCTTAAGTCGGGTGAATATGTTAGTGACATCCACGATCGTGAAGGGTAACCTGAAAACAGCATCTGATGTTATACCTCAGTTTAATCTATTTAAAGACCCAAAGTCTATAAAAGATCCTCATATTGTTTCCACTGTGTCTTTTCTCTGCTAGTCGAGTGTCAGAAAGTCTTTGTTCGGTGCGGTTTACAGTAGCGTTTTTTTTTCTTGTTATAAAAACAACAACAACGTGATGTATAAACTTTATCCAAGAATGTAAACACTGAATTCAGAGCACAAGGACGAACAATGATGCAGTTTTTTTTTCATCTCGTTAAGGTTAGGCGGAAGAAGAAGGAGAATGTCAAATGTATTTACTTTGGTGAGATGGTGGTAATTAGATGAAGGTGTTATGGAACGGTAGGGGGATTCCTTGTTTCAGAGCTGATCTTGAGAGTGTGAAAGTTCAACGTTTAACTTAAGGTGTTATGGAACGATAGGGGGGGATTCCTTGTTTCACAGCTGATCTTGAGAGTGTGAAAGTTCAATGTTTAACTTAAGGTGTTATGGAACGATAGGTGGGATTCCTTGTTTCAGAGCTGATCTTGAGAGTGTGGAAGTTCAATGTTTAACTTAAGGTGTTATGGAACGATAGGTGGGATTCCTTGTTTCACAGCTGATCTTGAGAGTGTGAAAGTTCAATGTTTAACTTAAGGTGTTATGGAACGATAGGGGGGATTCCTTGTTTCACAGCTTATCTTGAGTGTGAAAGTTCAATGTTTAACATTCTGTCCAGGTTTGATAAGATAAGCTACTGACGTTCTAGTCTGGCACAACTTACTATCGAGAACTGAAATTTTAACTCTTACTTCTCGACCTCAGATTAATCTTAAGATGGTAGGATGACAACTGATTACACAGCAAGAGATAAATGAAACGAATGTTTACAATTAGAAAAAAACAAAACCTACACGTTATTTTCACAAGTCTTGGTCATTGTTATCGACAATCAGCAACCGTTCACTGTAGTGTGGGAACATTTAGTGTGAAAAACAAAATGTTACCGTGAGGTCAATCGGGTAAAAAAGCTAACTTTTCTTACAGAACGCAACAGTGATTCCAGAAACCTATTAGCTCTAATGTATCACGCAAAAAAAAGAGGTGGAAAAGAAGGAAATACAGGCTAAAATGAAATAATCCTCACGAATAAGATAGAACATGACTTGGACGTAAGAAATGTGATAATAAAAAAAGTGTCGACTGAAAACGTATATATATAAAGCATCGAAGGTTGCAGTAGAGACGAGAGGAATAAGGATTCCGATGCAGGTTGGTTCTTTTTATAATTAACTATAAGGGAAAATGATCCATTTCATGTTTGATAAGGCTTAGCCACTTTTGATCACAAAATGTAGTGACGTCACAGTTTGTCTCCAGTGCACAAAATGTAGGAATACATAATAATGGCTGGAGACGGCTTGAATGGGTAATGAAGAAAAACTTTAATATAAGTTTAACATAACAAATGTACAACGTTTTGTCATCATCTTCATTACCTATTCAAGCCGTCTCCAGCCATTATTAGTCTCAAAGCGGGTTCCTCGTCATCGAGTAGGAATACATAGTTTGTCATTGGTGCACAAAGTATACTGATATCGCAAGCATTATATGTCTGTTCTGTTGCTTTTTTCTTTCTTATTAGCTATTTTTTTTGTGCACCAATAATATTTTAGGGGGGGGGGGCATATACTCGATTCAATTCTATTACTCATCAGGAAGGCGTATAGCCGGTCACTACTACCACCCCCACCCCACTAGTATA